GGAGCTGCTGCTGGTACTGAGGACTCGGACGGTGGAGCTGCTGCTGGAGCTGAGGACCCGAGCGGTGGCGCTGCTGCTGCTACTGAGGACCCGGGCGTTGGAGCTACTACTGGTACTGAGGACCCGGCCGGTGGAGCTGCTGCTGGTGCTGTGGACCCGGCCGCTGGAGTCTCCTCTGCTTCTGGAGACGCTGCGCGGCCGCGACCGTACTTCGTACCGCTCCTTCAGCAGGTTCTTGGGCAGGCTCCTCCTCCTTGTCCTCCTCCCTCTGTAGAGTGTCCTCTGCCTGTCCAGCCGCAGTCACAGTTCCCGCCTACCTCGCCTCTCCCTGCTCCCTCTCCGTACACTGGTCCCACAGGAGGTCTTACAGAGCGTCGTGAGCCTGAGTCTCGTCCTGCGTCGCCTGTTCGTCGTGCTCGCACTGGTAGTCGTGTCCATCGTGAGCGTCCTCCTCCTGTCCCAGGCACTCACTACATGACTCTGCGTCCCTCTACTGCTCCTCAGCGTGTCCCTCTGCCGTCTCCTCCTGCGTCTTCTTTGCCTCACGTTCCGGACCCTGAGTCTGACCGGTACCGTGCTGAGCACCCTACTGTCACGCGTCTCCTCGCTACTGTTGTCACTGACCCTACCTTTGAGTCCTCGACTGCGTCTGCTCTGGTCGCTGAGTTGGTTGACTTTGCTGCTGCCTGTCGTCTTGACTACGCTGCTAGCCTTGTTGCTGAGTCTGAGTCTGAGTCTGTCTGTCCTCCGTCCGTCGGGGGTGAGTGTGCTCTTGGCACGGACGTCCTTGAGGACAGACAGGAGGAGTTCCAGTGTCTTGCTGCTGCTTTGCCCCGTCTCGTGTCCTTGCTAGTTGCCCCTGAGGGAGACCCGGATGCACCAGACATCCCGACCCCGCGCACTTACGCTGAGGCGATGGCGGGTCCCTACTCCTCTCAGTGGCAGACAGCCATGGACACCGAGATAGCCTCCTGGAAGTCCACACGCACCTACGTCGACGAGGTTCCCCCTCCTGGGGCGAACATCGTCAGTGGCATGTGGATTTTCAGGGTGAAGCGGCCGCCGGGTTCTCCGCCTGTCTTCAAGGCGCGTTACGTGGCTCGAGGCTTCAGTCAGCGAGAGGGAGTTGATTTCTTCCAGACCTTCTCCCCCACCCCGAAGATGACTACTCTTCGGGTGCTGCTGCACATAGCCGCTCACCGCGACTACGAGCTTCACTCACTTGACTTCAGCACTGCTTTCTTGCAGGGCAGCCTGCACGAGGAGATCTGGCTGCGCCGCCCACCTGGCTTCACTGGGTCGTTTCCTCCTGGTACTCAGTGGAGGCTTCAGCGGCCGGTCTACGGTCTCCGCCAGGCTCCGCGTGAGTGGCACGACACACTGAGGACTACACTTGCGGCTCTTGGGTTCGCGCCTTCTACAGCTGACCCGTCGCTGTTCCTGCGCACCGACACTTCGCTGCCGCCGTTCTACATCCTCGTGTACGTCGACGACTTGGTCTTTGCCACTGCTGACACTGCAGGACTCGCCTACGTGAAGTCAGAGCTGCAGAGGAGACACACGTGCACAGACCTGGGTGAGCTGACAAGCTATCTTGGCTTGCGGATCACCCGGGACAAAGCACGGCGCACCATCACCTTGACTCAGTCACACATGGTGCAGCAGGTTCTCCAGCGCTTCCGCTTCACGTACTCCTCGCCTCAGTCCACTCCTCTGCCTACCGGTCACTCGCTCTCAGCTCTGCCTTCGGATGAGTCCGTAGAGCCGAGTGGCCCGTATCCAGAGCTTGTGGGCTGCCTCATGTACCTGATTACCTGCACTCGACCTGACCTTGCATACCCTCTTAGCATCCTTGCACGCTATGTCGCTCCTGGCCGTCACAGGAAGGAGCACATGGATGCCGCTAAGAGGGTGTTGCGCTACTTGTGCAGTACGTCGGGCATGGGGCTTGTGCTTGGAGGGCGAGACCAAGTTGTTCTCACAGGGCACTCAGACGCTTCTTGGGCAGACGACCAGGCCACTCAGCGGTCGTCTTAGGGTTACACCTTCAGCCTTGGCTCTGGCTCAGTTTCTTGGCGCTCTACACGCTCTTCTTCTGTTCTCGGCTCCAGTTGCGAGGCTGAGATCTACGCTACAGCCATGGCTGCCCAGGAGCTACGCTGGCTGACCTACCTGCTGACCGACCTCGGAGAGCCGCCTCGTTCTCCTCCAGTCCTGTACGTCGACAACAAGGCTGCCATTGCCTTGTGTGAGGAGCACAGACTGGAGCACAGAACGAAGAACATCGCCCTGCGGTACTTCCTTGCTCGTGAGCTGCAGCAGCGCGGTCAGCTTTGTATTCGCTACGTGGCCACTGAGGCCAACACTGCTGATGTGTTCACCAAGGCGCTTCAGCCTCGTGACCATCAGCGCTTCTGCACTCTACTAGGCCTTGTGCCTACTGGACCTCACTTACTTACCTCTTGACTTTGCTTGTACTGTGATCACTATATATATCTATACCTGCATGTTTACTCTTGCTAGGTTGTGATCACTGTATCTCTTGCTCTGTTATAAACCTGCATGTGAACTGGTCTTGTGACCACTAGCTTGTGCTCGGAATTTGTGTGGAATCCTCGAGATCCACCCTGAGCTTGTTGTTGCCTTGCTTTGCCTTGACTGGTCTTGTGACCCCTAGGTCTCCCCCACTTTGCCTATGGGGGTGTGTCAAACATTATATGTTTATATGATTGTAGGCTGTAGTGGGTGATACCTTAGGGGGTACACTGGATTAGGGTTTCCTATTTGTATCCATCCTTCTGTTAGTACAGTCATTCCAGTCCGTTCATTCTGACAAGGCGCTGCGTACGACACGACGGCAACCTCCCCTCAACCTCCCCCAACAGTCCCACACCCCTCGACACACACCCCCTGCTGAAACCCTAGCTCCACTCCCATGGCACCCCCCTTAAACCCTAAACCCTCGGCTCCCACACACCCACCCCCCTGAGCAGCAGCTGCAGCAGTGGGAGACGGAGGAGGAGGAGGAGCAGGGGACGGCTCACACTCACGGCACCCCCATACCCTCCACCCCCAAACCCTAACACAGGAACGCGGGCAGTAGCGGGGGTGGGGCGCCGGCAGAAGCTCGGGGGACGGACGAGGCGCGCGCACGGGCCTGCCGCAGGCCGGACGAGGCGCGCGCGGGCTGCCCGGGCCGCGCGCGGGCCTGGCGCAGGCCGTACGGGCCGCGCGCGGGCTGTACGGGCCGCGCGCGGGCCTGGCGCAGCCCGTACGGGCCGCGCGCGGGCCTGGCGCAGCCCGTACGGGCCGCGCGCGGGTCCCAGGGGCGCTTCGACGGGCGACGGGGGCGTTTCGACGGGCGACGGGGGGCGCTCCGACGGGCGACGGGGGCGCTTCGACGGGCGACGGGGGGGAGCGCTTCGACGGGCGACGGGGGGCGCTTCGACGGTGGGAAACCGCCGCGCGCCTCGGGGCGCACAGCGGGCAGAAAACCGCCGCGCGCCCCGAGCGCGCGGCGGGAAGAAAAAAATCGAACATCGCGCGCCACGGGACGCGCGACACACAGGAAGGCAGCGGAAGCAGGCGGGCCCACAGGCCAGGAGCGTAACCGCTCTGATAGCATGTCAAGATAACCGGTAGTCTTAGGAGCCATAGCTAGGAGAGTCCTAGCTAGGCAAGAGAGTTTAGGCGAAAGAGGAGGGTTGCACTAGCAAGAATGGGGATACAAATAGCAAACCCTAGAAGGGTTGTACTCGCTACAGAGCACCCCACTACAGGCTAGAGCATAATATTCTGACAAGGCTCGCGATGTCGCTCGTAGTCGCGTAATTGTCGCCTTGGCCCTCCATGCCTGACAGCAACACGTCCGAAAAACCGAATCGAGGGGGAGCGAAAAAACATGGAACCGGTTTTATGTACCCGAAATCGATGTTTAACTGTGTCGCCCCCGCGGTTTTTTAAAGATTGGTTTTTAGCGGTCGAAAAAACTTCGCGTGTAAACGGGCTCTGATTACCAAGTGTGAGGATCTAGGATCGAGCTCAGAAAAGATGATTGTGAATTGAAAGACTCTATAAAAAGGATGTCGAATACAGAATGACGAGAATGGTAAAAGAAGCATGCATTTTTAGGGTCGAAACCGTGCTAGGCGAGGACCTCGATGTGCGTGGCTCGGGAATGTCGCAATTGGTGTGAGGCGACTCGGCGCTGGCTCAGTACGGAAGTGTAGGCCGAGCCCCAACTGACGCGAACAGTTCGGGCTGTCCTCGCTAGGAGCAGCCTCTACAGTAATGAATTCACATTCATTACAGCTGAGGTGCAAAGTACATATAGCAGCTAATTGTTGTTACAATCACACTGAAATCAATTTCTCAAACTTCCTATGCTGGCCAAGAATTATATCCGGATCTGTTGCTTGAAAGGCAAATATCGTAACCATTTGACAACTGACGTTAGGGCTTGCTAACATTAATTCATATGAAATTGATGGTATAAACTAATTTTTATTGTGAGGCTGTTGTTACCGAGGATCGTTGGTTTGTCTTCCCCCTCGCAGCATCCTGTCTGGTAAGGGCGGGTCAGGTGGCGTTTGTTTTCAGAAATCTAACACTCAAGTACCCATTTTTTGCGTGTATCAGAACTTTTACGTTTTGTTCAGGGAGGACGCGAAGCGAACCAAGAAACTGTTCACATCCGAGACGTCATTTTTGTGAGAAAAACAAGTCCTCAGGTACAACTCTACTACGTATCCCAGATCAAAACTGGTCAACCTCAAGCGTGAGTAACAACCAACATCTTGCCTAGCCAGCTCGCTAAGCGCCTCGCGCTTATTGCTCGTTGTGCTAGTGGCGGTAGGCATTCGCTACCTGACCCGCCTTAATTTTAAGACCAGGGCAGGTTGCCTACCTTCGCGACTTAGGACTTACGCAACGCAACGCCGTAGCAAGTCTGTCGGTAGAGCAGCTTTCTCCCCATCAGCAGCGCCCCTCGCAGCGCCGCCATGGCTGACGTGGCGGTGCATCAATTCAACAACATCCTCCTCGGCGGTCGCGGCGCTCTGGCAAGTCCCCTCCGCCCCGCTCGTCACGCTGATCCCTTCCGTGCCAGCACCCCGCTCGCCTTTCTCCTCTCCCTCCCTCAGCTGCTCCTCGCTTTTCGTTCTTCTGCAAAGTTTTTCGTGCCTTGCAAATTCCTCGTGATTTCGCGAAGTACTCATGCCTTCGCGAACCTTTTGTGCCTTAGCGAATCCCTCGTCCCGCGCAGACCCCGGGGCAGCTGCGCGTGCACACGGGCGGGCTGGCGTGGCGGAAGCTGGGCGGGGGGAAGCAGGTGGACGTGCAGCGCACGGACATGGCAGGCGTGGTGTGGATGCGCGTGCCGCGCGGGTACCAGCTGTGCGTGCGGCTCAAGGCGGGCGGCAAGGTGAAGTTCAACGGCTTCACCAAGGCGGACGTCGACGCGCTCTCGCCCTTCCTCGCCTCCACGCTCGGCTTCCAGCCGCGCAAGAGCGAACTCGCCACCACCGGCCGCAACTGGGGCGACGCCGAGATCGAAGGTACCCTCCACCGCACATCACCGCACTGCACCGCAGCGAGAGGTGCTGTGCGGGTTAGGCGATGAGGGAAGGGGATGGGGGAAGGTGGGAGTGGCGTGGTGTACGGGTGGGTGGCGAGACTGCTATGTGGTTGAGGAGTTGCAACATAGAGTTGAGAGGTGCTGGATTTGGCGTTCATATGGCTTTCCCGCTCCGCCAGGTGGACTGGTTACCCGTGCCCTCGTGACATTTGCTGTTTGATGTGCTCCAAGCGCACTGTCTCCCATGCACTTCTCCACCCATGCACTGCTCCACCCATGCATTGCTGGACCCATGCACTGCTGCACCCATGCATTGCTGGACCCATGCACCCATGCACCCATGCACCCATGCACCCATGAAGGCACGATGCTGGGATTCCAGGTGGGCGGCAAGCAGGCCTTTGAGATCTCCATTGCTGACGTGTCACAGACACAGCTGTCGGGGAAGAACGACGTGCTGCTGGAGTTCCACGTGGACGACACTGCCACTGCTGCTGAGGTGCGCTGACGTGGCAAGTGCTTTGTAAGCTGTGTGGCATGTGTGCTAATAACTTGCAAAGTTGAGGTGCAAGTGGCATGTTGGAGCTGCATGAGGGGCGGCTGCACGTGAGAGGGGCATGAATAATCGGGGGGGGGGAGGGGGGCATTCACGTAACGCTTTTACCATTTCCAACGCATGCCTTGCCCCATCTTTTTCTCAATGCGTCCTTCCGTCTGACTTAACAGTGTGTGTGTCACTGTGTGTGCCTCTGTGTCAACCAACGTGCACGCATGGCATCAGAAGGACATGTTGGTGGAGATGAGTTTCCACGTGCCAACATCCAACACCACCTTCGTTGGCACCGACGACAAGCCCTCCGCACAGGTCACCCGCGCCCCCATGTCATGTCATGTCATCTCATGTCATGTCATGTGCGCTCCGGCCAGTTGAGGCACGTCCCTACGTGATGTTCCCTTCATGCCGATGCCGGCAATGCAGTGCGTTCGCCCCTGCCACTCCCTATCCCTCTGCACTGCCACTCCTTGTCGCCGTTCCCACTAGCCCCATCCGTTCATTTACACAGCCCTGTGTCGTGCGCAACCAATGCCTTGCCCCAGGAGAGGGCCAGTTGCCACGTTGCTGCCATCATTGCCCCCACCCTCACCACATTCCTTCACAGCAATCTCTACTCTACTCGGGCTAGATGCTGCCTGGTGTGCTCACCAGTGCCATGCATGCAGCATCCTCCGCACACACGTCCTCCCCCAACCGCACTCGCACACGCTACCTGCCCCGCATGCTGCTCCATGAGGCCACAATCCCATGCTGCCATGGAATGCCGCCACCTCCTCCCACCCGCGTCTTTCCCTTCCTCGCCCACCCACTTCTTCCCCCCGTGCGCCCACCCGTGCCGGCGACCAGATATTCCAGGAGCAGATCCTAGCACGCGCGGACGTGGGCCCCTCAGGCGACGAGGCGGTGGTGGAGTTTGAGGGCGTGCACATCCTCACGCCCAGAGACCGCTTCCTCCCACTCCCACCATGCCTACCCGCAGATATTCCAGGAGCAGATATTGGCACGGGCCGATGTGGGCCCGTCGGGCGACGAGGCGGTGGTGGAGTTTGAGGGCGTGCACATCCTGACGCCGCGCGGGCGATTCAAGGTGGAGCTGCACGTCACGCACGTGCGCCTGCAGGGCATGGCCGTCGACTTCAAGATCCAGTACAAGAACCTCGCGCGCCTCTTCGTGCTGCCCAAGGTGAGCCCAAGGTGCCGTTCAAAGTGCCTGTTTGTGCCGCCTAAGGTGTGCCTCCGTGTGCTGCTGCCGTTGCCAGAGAGAGATGCTTTGCAGTGCAGCAGCAGCCCGGGTGGTGCGTGGCATGGCAGGCGGGCAGCACTGCACGCTGCCGCCCCTATTGTGCTGGCAGGTTCGCTGCTCGTTGAACCATACACACTGCGACATACCATGCTCCTTGCTCTGTGCTGCTGCCATAAGGGCTCTCTGCCACCACCATGCTGTCCCGCTCTCTACCCTCCAACGCCTCTCTGTGCCTGTGTCTCTGCGTGTGTGTGTCTCTGCGTGTCTCTGTGTGCCATACGCCCTGCAGGCCAACCAGCCGCACACCTTCGTTGTTGTCACACTCGACACGCCCATCCGCAAGGGCCAGACGCTCTACCCTCACATCGTGCTGCAGGTGCGCCCAACCACGCTTCACCACGCCGCACCCAACATTCCCTGGAACACTCTAGCACTATTGGATGCATGCTGCATGCACTGAAGCGTTCCACGTCCGCCCAACGCCCAATGCCCCACTGCACAAGTCTCTTCCTCATGTGTGCCTCAGGCCTGCCTCATGTGCTGCGCTCTGCTCCTGCCTCTGCCTCGTCGTATGTGTGTGCGCACACCTCCGTGTCCCCTGCACATGAGCACAGTTCCCCAACGAGGAGACATTCGAGGGCGGGCTGGCTTTGAGTGACGAGCTGCTCACCACCAAGTACAAAGACCGCCTGCTGCCCGTGTACAAGGTGAGGACAGGTTGCAGCCCGTGTACAAGGTGAGGAGAGGGTGTGAGGAGTGAAGAGTTGTATTCATGAGAGGCTTGACCATCCAATGTTTTGGGGCTCCTCTACGAAAGGGTGGATTGGCATTCAACCACTCACTTGCTGCACCTCCGCTTGCTTCCACTCCACGAGCACTCTCTGTTCACCACTGCTCACCCCTGCATCTTCCCTCCACCCTTTGCTCTCTGTTCCTATCACTTGTATGAGACAATGCTTCTAAGCTACGTATACCTCCTTCACGGGCATCCCACACCATGTAACCCCCCGTGCCCCCCCGGTACCCCATGTGCCCCACGTGTTCTGCCCCTCACGCGCACAGGACCTGGTTCACGAGGTGTGATCTCAGATCCGCAGGGGGCTGTTGCCCGCCAACGTGACGCACCCACCATGTGCCCCGTGTTCCCCCATGCCCCACAGTTTCCCACCATTTCCCACTGTGCCCCATGTGCCCCCCTGTGACTCCCCTCCGCCCCCACGCACAGGGCTTGGTGCACGAGGTGTTCGCGCAGATCGTGCGGGGGCTGTCGGGCGCCAAGGTGACGCGGTCACCATGTTCCCCCATGTCCTACCGAGCCCCATGTGCCCCCTTTTGTCCCCCTTTTGCCCACGCACAGGGCTTGGTGCACGAGGTGTTCGCTCAGATCCTGCGGGGGCTGTCGGGCGCCAAGGTGACGCGGCCGGGGTCGTTCCGCAGCAACAGCGACGGGTACGCCGTGCGCACGTCGCTCAAGGCGGAGGAGGGGTACCTCTACCCGCTCGAAAAGAGCTTCTTCTTCCTCCCCAAACCGCCCACGCTCGTGCTGCACGACGAGGTGCGCGCATGGGGGGGGAAGTGTGGGGGGGGGGGGGAGGGGAGAGGGGATGTAGTGGAAGAGGGGGGTGTGTGAATGAAGGGTCTGGGTTTGGTGTGGTGTGACATGTCAGTGGGGGGTGGTTTTGTTTGTTGAGGTGTTTGTAGCATGGCTGAGGAAAGGGTTGTATGGGGAAAGGATGCTGGGAGGGGGTAAACGAGGTGAATGGAAAAAGGGGAGGTGACAGGAGCGATGGGAGAAAGGAGAGAGGGAGAGAGGGGCTTTTGGTTTTCAATCGGGCACCTCGTGTGTCGCTTGCTGTTATCACCGGTGCCGCCTCGGAGCTTCACACCTGTAGGCTGTGCGGCACAGTGCTGTGTGTACCCAGTGGTACCCGGCCATGGAGGCAGCACCTGCACGGTGGGTGGCAGTGACTTCCATGCCGCATGCCCCGTATCCCACACGTGCCCCAGAAACCCCACGTTCCACTCGTGCTCGCCATGCCCCCACTCCCCTCTCCTCCCCTCCCCCTCCCCCTCCCCCTCCCCCTCCCCCTCCCCCTCCCCCTCCCCCTCCCCCTTCCCATCCCCCTCCCCCCTCCCCCTCCCCCTCCCCCTCCCCCTCCCCCTCCCCCTCGCCAGGTGGAGTACGTGGAGTTTGAGCGGCACGGGGCGGGCACGAGCAGCATCTCCTCGTCCTACTTTGATCTGGTCATTCGCCTGCGCAGCGAGCAGGAGCACCAATTCCGCAACATCCAGCGCAACGAATACCACAACCTCTTCTCCTTCTTCAGGTGTCAACCTCTTCTCCTTCTTCAGGTGTCAACCTCTTCTCCTTCTTCAGGTGTCAACCTCTTCTCCTTCTTCAGGTGTCAACCTCTTCTCCTTCTTCAGGTGTCAACCTCTTCTCCTTCTTCAGGTGTCAACCTCTTCTCCTTCTTCAGGTGTCAACCTCTTCTCCTTCTTCAGGTGTCAACCTCTTCTCCTTCTTCAGGTGTCAACCTCTTCTCCTTCTTCAGGTGTCAACCTCTTCTCCTTCTTCAGGTGTCAACCTCTTCTCCTTCTTCAGGTGTCAACCTCTTCTCCTTCTTCAGGTGTCAACCTCTTCTCCTTCTTCAGGTGTCAACCTCTTCTCCTTCTTCAGGTGTCAACCTCTTCTCCTTCTTCAGGTGTCAACCTCTTCTCCTTCTTCAGGTGTCAACCTCTTCTCCTTCTTCAGGTGTCAACCTCTTCTCCTTCTTCAGGTGTCAACCTCTTCTCCTTCTTCAGGTGTCAACCTCTTCTCCTTCTTCAGGTGTCAACCTCTTCTCCTTCTTCAGGTGTCAACCTCTTCTCCTTCTTCAGGTGTCAACCTCTTCTCCTTCTTCAGGTGTCAACCTCTTCTCCTTCTTCAGGTGTCAACCTCTTCTCCTTCTTCAGGTGTCAACCTCTTCTCCTTCTTCAGGTGTCAACCTCTTCTCCTTCTTCAGGTGTCAACCTCTTCTCCTTCTTCAGGTGTCAACCTCTTCTCCTTCTTCAGGTGTCAACCTCTTCTCCTTCTTCAGGTGTCAACCTCTTCTCCTTCTTCAGGTGTCAACCTCTTCTCCTTCTTCAGGTGTCAACCTCTTCTCCTTCTTCAGGTGTCAACCTCTTCTCCTTCTTCAGGTGTCAACCTCTTCTCCTTCTTCAGGTGTCAACCTCTTCTCCTTCTTCAGGTGTCAACCTCTTCTCCTTCTTCAGGTGTCAACCTCTTCTCCTTCTTCAGGTGTCAACCTCTTCTCCTTCTTCAGGTGTCAACCTCTTCTCCTTCTTCAGGTGTCAACCTCTTCTCCTTCTTCAGGTGTCAACCTCTTCTCCTTCTTCAGGTGTCAACCTCTTCTCCTTCTTCAGGTGTCAACCTCTTCTCCTTCTTCAGGTGCCGCCCTGCCACCCCGCCTCCTATCTCAACTCATATTGCAGTCGTGTGTTTTAGCGTTCCAGGCAGGTTGGGTGACAGCACTGTGATGTGATTCACCAGTCCACTACGAGTGCCACTCTGTCCCTCTCATCTGCATCTCTCTGCCACACCCGTTGCACCATCTCTGCCATGCCATTGAAACGAGGATGACTTCAACCCCTCCCATTATCGCCCCTTGGAATCATCTGTTTTCTCTCGTCTTAGGGTTTTCTGTAATGAACTCGTTGCGCATAGCTCTCTCTCCTCAGTGCATACGCGTAATGCTTGTACCCCAACCACCCGCACACCTTCCCCCTCCCCCAGTGAGAAGCGCCTCAAGATTCTCAACCTCGGTGACTCGCATGCAGCAGCAGCAGCGGGCGCGGAGGCAGGGGCGGGCGTGGGGGGCGTGGGGGTGGGCGGCGTGGACTCGGATGACGATGCGGTGGACCCGCACCTCAACCGCATTCGCGCGGGGGGGGCTGATGAGAGCGACGAGGAGGTGCTTGGTTTAGGTTTTCAGGTTTAAGGTTTCTGATTAGGGTTGAGGGAGCATGATGATGTTCGCAAGGGGGAAAGGATGTGTGAGGTAGAGGTGGGGAGAGAGGGATGGAGAGTTAAGTGGTTGAGTGGACTCAGATGACGACGTGGTGAACCTTCTCCTCATCCGCATTCAGCCAGAGGGGGCTGATGAGATGAGAGCGCCAAGGAGGTGCGCTGGGGGGAGGGGGGATTGGGAGGGGGAGTTGATGATGATCGCAAGGTGGGCGGGTTTAGTGGTTGAGTGGGCTCGTATGACGATGCAGTGGAGTCTCGCCTCAACCGCAGGCAGGGGGGGATGATGAGAGCGACCATGCACGCAAAGGGGAAGGATTGGGGGGCCACGTGGGGGCAGAAGAGGGGAGAGGGATGTACGATCAGGTGATTGCTTGACTCGAATTTCGTTGCCGCTCGTTCCAGTGTCCCCTCCCTCCGTGCGCCCTGCACATGCCTTCTTTCCCCCTTGTGCCCCCCCGTCCCTTGGTGTACCATTGTGTGCGTGCAGGACGAGGACTTTGTGGCGGGCAAGGACGAGGACGACGGGGGCTCGCCGTTTGACTCGGACAGCAGTGGCAGCGGCGATGGCAGTGGCAGCGACAGCGACAGCGATGCCAGCAGGGCCGCCAATGAGGACGAGGAGGAGACCGCCAAGCGCAAGGTGCAGGGAGGGGGTGGGGCGCGGAACGGGCGGAGGGGGGTGGATGGTGAGGGGAAGGGTTGAGTGTCAGGAGTGGGAGTGTTTGATGCTGGCCCGTAAGCCGCCCAAGGTAAGCGCTTTCTTTTTCAGGCACTTGCCCAGTCATGGGAAAACGGTATTGCCTCGGAAGATGTGTCTGTGGGAGCTGTCTCGCGTTTTCAGAGCTTCTTTGCCACTCGCCTGGACCGCGTTCAGGCAGGCAGTGCGGTCCTCCCACCCCACGGCGTGCAGCCCCATGCCTCCCACAGCGATACACGCTGCCAATGCAGGTGTAGGCGAGCAGTCGGGTTGAAGGTGCAAACGAGCCCACACTCGTTCTGTTTCTGCGAATCTATCTGTGTGCGAACGCGTGACTTGTTCTCACACACGTGTTTCTGGGTGCATGTGTGTGTGCCTGTGTGTGTGGGTGCATGGGTGATGGCATGTATGTGTGTGTGTGTGTGTGCGGCTGTGGGTGCATGTGCGTGTGTGCATGTGCATGGTAGCAGGAGAAGGCACGCAAGGAGAAGGAGAGGGAGAAGGCGAGGGAGGAGAAGGCAAGCAAGGCGGCGAGCAGTGGGGGAGCCAAGAGGAAGAGCAAGGAGGGGGCGGGAGGGGGCGGGGGGGACGACGGCAAGAAGAAGCGCAAGAAGAAGGACCCTGACGCGCCCAAGCGAGCCCTCTCTGGCTTCATGTACTTCAGCCAGGCTCAGCGCGAGGTGAGGGCCCTCCCTCCCTCCCTCCCTCCCCTCCCCCCCTCCCTCCTCCCTCCCTCCCTCCCCCCTCCCTCCCTCCCTCCCTCCCTCCCTCCCTCCCTCCCTCCCTCCCTCCCTCCCTCCCTCCCTCCCTCCCTCCCTCCCTCCCTCCCTACCTCCCCCCCTCCCCCCCTCCCTCCCTCCCTCCCTCCCTCCCTCCCTCCCTCCCTCCCTCCCTCCCTCCCTCCCTCCCTCCCTCCCTCCCTCCCTCCCTCCCTCCCTCCCTCCCTCCCTCCCTCCCTCCCTCCATCACGCACGCCCCAAAGCATGCCCTCTCGGGCATCATGAACGTCAGCCAGGCAATGCATGATGTGCGTTGCCTCCCTGCCCTCCTTTTCCCTCCTGTTCATCCCATGGGCAATCGTTGTCAGCCTGTGCTGCTCATCTGATGCAAGTACGTTAGAATGCCGTCCATGCTAGTTGAGACATTCCGATCAATCATGTGTCTGCACGTGCGCCTGTGTGCTTGTGTCTGTGTGTTGGTGCATGCGTGTGCGTGTGTGTGCATGCGTGTGTGCATGCGTGTGTGCATGCGTGTGTGCAAGTGTTTGCGTGTGTGTGCATGTGTGTGCGACTGTGTGCGTGTGTGTGCATGTATGTGTGTCCGTGTATGTGTGTGTATGTGTGTGTATGTGCATGCATACACGTGCATGTGAATGCATGTGGGTGCATGTGTGCGTGCATGCGCATGTATGGGATCACAGCAAGTGAAGAAGGACAACCCGGGCATTGCATTCGGTGACATCGGCAAGCTGATCGGCGAGAAGTGGAAGAAGATGTCAGGTGCGATGGAGGTGGAGAGGGGGGCCATGGAGGGGGGAAGTGGGGGAGTTGGTGGAAGTGGGATGTGTGAGAAGAAAAGGTAGAAGAGAAGTTGATGGATTGATTGAAAGGATGGGGGGTTTACATAGGAGATGAGTTGGAAACTAGCCTAGGTGAACATTATTGGACCCCAACCAAGGAGTTGGGTTGGGAGATTATTGGTGGGGTCCAATAATGTTGGCCAAGTTGGAGTTGGGCCAACATTATTGGAGGGGACCAATAATTCTACCCATCCCAACCCTTGGGGTCCAATAATTGGACCAAGGTTGGGTTTCCAACCTACAAATTGGGTAACCCCTGCTTGTACACCCAAACTAAGTTTGGGTGCTTATCTCTAGCCTATCCTATAGCATATATGCAGGTTACAAGAGAGGAGATATTCTAACACAACCCCTTAACCTGCAGAGATGCGGAAAGGCTGGAGAGCAGCAACCCCTGAATCAAGGCGCTCCTGGAGGAGCGAGGCCAATGAGGCGGAGGAGAGCAGAGTGCGCGGGGCGAAGAAGTGCTTTGGTGAAGATATCCGCCAAATTGGCTTCAGTGGCGATCTTGCGGACGGCGATAAGATTCTGTCGGACGAGGTCGCGGATGAAGAAATAACGGAGCTCGATATGCTTGGAGCGACCATGAAAGACTGGATCCTGGGTGAGGTGGATGGTGCTGGCGTTGTCACACCAGAGCGTGGGACAGCGCTGGGGGGCACCAAGCTCTGCCAGAAGAAAGCAGAGCCAGCGGGACTCTTGAGCGGCCATGGTGCCCGCATAGAGCTCAGCTTCGCAGGAAGAGAGAGCGATGGCGGAGGAGCGGGTGGAACGCCAGCTGATAAGTCCGCTGCCGAGGGTAAAGCCATAGCCTTGGGAGGAGCGGCGGTCTGGCTGATTGTCTGCCCAGGAGGAGTCACTGAAGCCCGAGAGAAGGGGAGGGGAGGATCCACCCAGTGTGAGAGCGTGATCCTTGGTGCCGCAGAGATAGCGAAGGACCCGCTTGGCGGCAGCCCAGTGTTCCTCAGTGTGACGTCCAGGGCCGACGAACCGAGCAAGGACGCTGACAGGGTAGGCGAGGTCGGGGCGGGTGCACATCATCGCG